AGATCTCTCTGTTAAATTATTAGCAAAATGGTGTTGACTTGTGAGAATCGTTACAAGCTTGTTGCATGCAGATTATAAAGAAAATCTAATGACTAGTTTTTCCACAAATAAACAAACCCGATTTTAAAGGCCTGTTTATATTTATTCATGTTGCCATGGCAACGGCACATACGTCAGCTTAACCATCAAAAAACCAACGTTTGTGTTGTTGACTTGCTTGCTGCCATTTTTGGCGAGCGAAGGATCAAGGGCTTTAGAGAAAAAGGTGAATGAAACACAGGTATTAAAAACTGTGTTCAGCAACCTTAAATTTCTGCGTAAAGACAGCTAAGCTATGTACCACTTGGTATCCATTGAACTAATGACAGTGAGGGTGATGGTTAAATATCACGACCGGGTTAAGTAAGAGACATAACAGTACTAATAGTTCTGTGTAAACAATAAAATCATTAACGAGCATAGAGCGGTTTTGAATTGAGTGCTGTCAAAAGACAACCAAACGAATTGCCTACCAAATAGACTACTCAGCCAATCTCAAACCGTAGTCAAACCAAAACCAAAACCAAAGTAACTACCTGATTACTTTCAACACTCAATTGAAAACCGCTCTATAGCATTCGGCATATTATCTAGTAGTTCAACAACTTACCTAACGGCTGCCTCCACAAGAGCTTTCTCGTCTGGAGACGACGCCTAAACCAGATCATAGAGATTGTTTATTACTTAGCTCTTATTGACCGAGCGGGAAGTCTGCATGGCAGAATCTTAACCGGGGTTGTGAGTACAGACCGAACGCAGTGAGGTCTGAACACACGACCGAGGTGAAGATTCTCCCATACAGACCGACTAGGCTTGGTTAATAAGATGTTTATTACATGACAAACAAGAAAAACCTAATTCGTTCAATGTAACTGGTTTGTACCAGCTGACATTTTGCTTGTGAACGGCGATGAACGGAACTTAAATCTGTCAAAGTTTGCTTGTGTTCTTTATGTTTTTTCTCATCAGGCTTTTTGGCACTCTTATTAATAAATATTTTTTATTTTTAGTTTGCACCAATTACACCGCAAAATGTAACCGGTCTAGATGCCGGTCTAGATGGGAAAATCTAGACCACGGTCTAAATCGTTTTCAGCCAATCAAATAAGTGAATTTGGTAGTTCCCACTTCTTGTGAGACACAGCCATATAATAAAAGATTAATCTTGTGAATGTAAGTGGTTTAAACTACAAGAACCCCTGACCATGAAGAACAAGAAAAATACCATACCAAATAAAACTTCATGGAAAAATAAGCTTTTTACGATAACTGCAGAAATTCTCGCGCGCTAATTTTCATTGTCAATAAGCGGACAGACACATGAATTTATAATTTATGCTACGCGTCAACGAGCGAGAGCCGACAATTTGACAATTTGTTATCGTAAGAAACAAATTGACATCGGTTTTTCATGTGTCTGTTCTGTTATCGACAATGGATTTCGTCATAACATTTTCAAAGCAGTCTACAGCTCCACTTGGCTATCGCCTCATGGATCCACAGCCACTTTGACAATGTTATGACGAAATTCATGACCAATAACAGGACGGACGCATGAAAATCTGACGTCAATTTGTTAAATTACATGCAGCCAGAATATTGTATTTACTACAAGGAAGGCTAGGTTACCTGATAGTGATAATCATAGATAGAATTGTGACCAGTCTCTTTTGAAGCTTGCACAGTGTGGCACAGAGAAAGCGTCAAGAAAAACTGCATGACCTCTGACTGAAAGAAAACCACCAGCGTAAAACATTTAAGAATTTTCAAAACATGTTAGCTTTCGTTAGACTATGAACAGCCCCTCTAAAGCCAACGCAAATTGTAAGTAGCTCCCACTCATTTTCCCGCGTTTTTGTGTCAGCTACAATAACATGTACTTGCTCTGCGTTTTGATTGGTTCACGCACTATCTGTGTTCTTTGACTGACAAGACACTACTTTTACGAAAACTCAATTGAAAACTGCTCTACATCCTCAAAAACGAACGAAATGAAGCAAAACCGAAACAAATCGTAAGAGGCGACACTTGTTTACCCATCTTTTGCATCAGTTACATGTTTTGAATGGTTCATTGATTGTCTGTGGCCTTTGTGACTGACCAGAGTGACTACTTTGGTAATAGTTTTAAGACAATTATCATTTAAAAATTACTCCAAAGAAATCTAAACACTGTCAGTGATAACTAATTCAGTCTGTAACACTGGGTTCTACAGAATGTAGCTGTCTTGTTGTATTAATATGCAAATAACTGTCAGGTTAAGGACGTAAGATATTAGTATCAACTTACATTTACAGTGTGAATAGAAACACAGGGACCATCAGTCTGATCTGCCACAAACAATTGACTGTTCAACTCCTAAAACAAAATAAATAATGCACAAAAGTTACCATGAACTACAAATGCTCAAAAGCGTCATTCTAAAGACTGAGCAGTATGTCTCCACCAAAACACCAAACCTAAACCAACAATGGTATGTGAGTGATTTCTATAACAGAAAGTCATCCCACCTTAATTTGCATTGTCAAACATCTTAGTGGGCCTCTCGGCAAATAGACCAGTTCAAAACTTGTGATGGTAGATCTTAACTCAATGCATCTTTTTTTAATATTCGTTGATTATAGACATAATTATGAATGACAACAGCCAAAATACCCGGTAAAAGTAATTGATTTTTTCATTGATCGTCAGTTGGCCAGCTGTCAGCTGACTGGTGGCCATTTGTCGGTCAACCATTGGCCGATAAATGGCCGACAGTCGGCAGCCAGTTTTCATTCAGTTTTCGTTATGTTTTGGACTCAGACTAAAGAGCTGCAGTCGGCCAACAGTCAGTGAACTGTTGGCAATCGTTAGTTGGGATTTGAACTTTAGAGTACCCATGTCAATGAACGTAGGGTAAAAAAGAAAACAAATCAGGGGACAAATCAAATTTTAACTCACCACATATTTCAAGCCGTTTATGGAACATTCCCTGAACTGCATGTCATTTTCTGTCAGTGTCCCTGTCTTGTCTGTGAACACATACTCAATCTAATAAAATGTAACGTAGAACATTGCAATGTTTCAATTTTGCCTATCAATTACACATTAAGAACTACCTTTATTTTCTTTCAATGGATTGCAAACAAAATTCTTTTGAAAGGAGAAAAAATCTGTTTATGTTTATGAGGTAAGTTTCCAAGCATACAGTGGAGTCATAGCAATGTTAGGGTAATTTAATTCATGCCACGATTTAAGAGTCCTAAAACAGTGACTGATCTAACTCATGACAAACATTTTAATATCATTAACTGCATTCGCAACCAACTTCCCTCTATATAAGGTGCACTGACCATCTAAGCAGTCTTTATTGTATTGTGGCATAAAAATTAACAATTAATTTTCTTTTTTCCTATACTGCCTGTTAACTGAAAAGATCACCAACTACATTATGCTAACGCCTCATAACCAATAAACTGCTAGTTCTTTCTTTCTAATCACCATGAACAAGAAAGAGTCTTCTTCTTAACAACTTAACACTTGGCACTACATAAGATTCCGCAGCATCTACCTGTCCCAATTCTTCATTGAGATCCGATGTATTGGCAATGGCACGCTCATCCGTTTCCTAAAGAAAGAAAAAGAAGCCCTTGAAATGTATTTACATTACAGATATACAGTCTGGAATGCTAAGAAACAGGACGAACATGAAATTCATTTCAAAATATTTCTCAGCAAGCTCTCCATGAACTTGAAGTCTTAACAGCAGTACAGTAAAAACCCGCATGTAAGAACCTAGTGGTTTAAGAACCTGCTGGCAGAAATTTGCCATTTTAATACCCAAAAATATAAGAACCTGTTTAGCCAAGCAAAATCAAGCAGGTTCTTATATGTATGTGGGTTACAGTTAAATTATGAGAAACATTTTAGACTAGCGGTGTGACTTTGAGATTGCAAATTTACATTACAAGAAAAAATTCATAATAAAGTTATGTATATTCAAGGACCACACGGTTTGAAACCAAATTTTATTTATTTTTCTGGTAATCCACCCAGATATCTCCTTCAAAGAAATTAAGAACCTACTTAAAAAGCTGCTTAGCCTAAATTGCCAATAACTACTCCAAAATACAAAAACCTAATTTGTCAGACTTCCTACATGCAGGTTTTCACTGTACTGCTCAAAGTCTAGATTAAACTGAAGAAGCAGGCTTGTTTATTCTCAGGCAAATAACATGTTGTGGCCAGTATCTCTATAGCATGATACAGCCGCAACAAAAAACAACTCAAAAGAAAATTTTCCATTTCAAGACTGATAAAATACATGCAAAAATGACTGCATGCTGATTGGCTGAGAGCATGTCAATTAACCCAAACAGTGCACAAAGTTGAAATTGAGTGCAGAAAATTGAAATTAAATTGTGTGTACAAGTCATGTATATTAAATAAGTTACGTGATCAAGTGACTTTTTTTGTGTGTATTTATTTGGAATAAACAAGCACTCATAAATTTCTTTGTAATCTTTAAAAATTAGCAAGTCCAAATTGCAATGGAAATCATTTGATTAGATATCGAATGGCATGACCACTTATTTTGCCTTCATCTAAAGTGTTTTAGGGCCTGTTCTTACCTCCATGTACATTTTTACGTCCCAAGCAAAAAATAAAGCACCAATGAATTTTTGAAGCTCTAAACAGAAACAAAATCGGAAAGTTTAAAAATTGACCCAAATTCCATTCTTCTGGAAACTACTAATGTCACTGACACCATCCTTGGCTGAGTGAACGTGATCAAAAGAAATATCTATGCTACTTGTAACATCACCCAAATTTGTAATTATCCAATTGGGGCAGAAGGACACAAGATTTAACTATCAGGATTCGTAGTAGTGTGTAGGCTACAAGCACATGAATTTCACAAGATTAAGGGCAAAGCATAGGAGTGTAAAACTTATGGAATGAAGTAAAATTTGACTTTAAGATAGAGCAAGATCTACAGCACAGATTACATTATGACTTTAATGTACTATAGAGCGCTATTACAAGCTTAAGTCATAACTTGATCAATACAAAATGTATGGAAATGGTTACATTTTGAATAGATCAGGTTATGACTTAAGTCCAGCATGCAATGCTGTAAGTTGAAAATCAAATATAAGGTCCTACATAAACAATGTTCAGTTCATATTTAGTTATGACTAACATGGGATTTTAATTTAGGAAGCTAATTGTTCTGTGACAGGATCATGGGTTTTGCCGTGTGGGTAATTTTAAATAGTTTAACAGGAAACTGGTAATTTCTACTTACCTACTGTAACATACAATGATATAGGAATGACATAATTGAAAAGAATTAGGAACACAAGAAATGTGTCGAGCACACCATTAGAACCTGTGAACTAAACAACAACAACAAAATTAAAGTACTGCAGTAGCTTCTTTTAACCTGACCCAATGCTAAGTTCCCTCTGTGAGATATGTCTGTGGGGGTTCACAACACTGCCATGTCTTGGATATGTTTTGTTCATTGCAACAACAGTACCATTATTACCTGCTGTCAAATTTCTTATAAATCAGGGGGCAGTATGGCATCATGAATCAGAGTAAATATATTTTTTTCAAAAAACCAGAGTTGCTTCATACCTAAAGGGATAACATTACCATCATAATAGTATCATGATGGTTAAGTTCTGTATTTCTGAACTTAGTCATTACATGGGAAGTGGAGGTAATGTACTACGACCTGATATGGCTGACAAAGTCAATTGGCCAATTTTTTTTTTTTTTACCTTTTTGATATGTTTTGATGGCATATCAGGATTAGAATCAGCTTTATAATTTCATTTTCAAGTGGCCATGAACCTGTTACAACTGGCTGCCAGATGTTTATAAACTGTCTCATTAACAACAACTTATTGTACATGAGCAAAATTCATTAACTTATTGCAACAGAGATGAACCTACTGTGACTTTTGGTTTTTCCAAATAAACATAGGAAGGAGTCCCTGATCTTGAGTTTTGTTTCCAGAACATCAGACCTGCACACAGTGCTCCTTGACACAGTAACACCACCAAAAACACTATCAAAAACACATTCATTGTCCTGCAACAAACGTTGAAACCCTGTTAACTGCTATAAGCATTTTACCACATAACTACAAACACCAAACAAGACAGAAAAATACCATGTACATGGCATAATTTGCAGAAACAGTGGAAACTGGCTGCCAAATGTAGTTTTCACTGGGCAAGTAATACTTTTTAACAGATCTAATTATGGTAAAAAAAAAAAAGGTATACCAGATGTAATAATCATAAGTATTACCACAGTTCACAGAATAAAAACATTATTTATTATTTATACTTCTCAACAGTTGAAAACTTGTGAGCTCCTTGTTGTTGATTCAAAGCCATCTTAAAAGGAATTAAAAAACCTCATTCAACAGTAATAACGAAACAAGGCAAAGAAAGTGGTTCTTAATAAACCACAAAGGAAAAAGTAAGCTTTGTAGTGGTTGTGACAACCCCAACTTGCAGATGTAGATGAGACTACTAAGGGATAGGTATTGTACCAGATTAATTTACAATGTATTGTCTCTAACCTTGGTTTCTCTGCCAGTGTAAACAGCAACACCTAGAATAAACCACAGAAGATCATATTACCATTTTCAAGTTAAAAAATATTTGTGCGAAAAGTAAACTAATTTATACCAATGGTAGAGGTGCGAAATTGAATAAATTAAGATTAAGATAGCTGTACTTTGTTCTATGTTCTTTGTTCTATCGAGGAAAAGCTCCAAAACGAGAACAAGTTGCCAGACTTCTACAGACGCTACGTGGATGATACACTAGCCACAATGAAAGACATACCAACTGCAGAAGCCTTTCTGAAGACTTTGAACAACTGTCATCCATCCATATCCTTCACCATGGAGATCGCATCTAACGGTAAGCTACCATTTGTCGGCATTNATAATAATATTGTTGTTTAAAAATGCATGGTTACCCCTACATTTTATGTTATGAAATGGAAGTGGCAAGCCTGTTCAACACGTGATTAGTTTCTAGTTGTGAGCAAAAGGTGTTTAGTCTGTATTTTAGCTGAACCCGAGGAAGGCTGTCAGAGACGCTAAAAGCGCTCTTGCAATGATTTTGTTATTAGAAACATGTCAAAAATGGTTTTTATGTTGCCATTTACCATGCAGTTTTAAGATCGTAATAATTGTGTTTACTTTTCTGTATGTAAAGGCGAATTCTAAGGAAATCTGTGAAGAAATACCTTTTCTTCTTTTTTCAGAAAATGCTGATGTCAGCATTTTTGTTGAGATTCAAGGCTAATAACTATTATCTTGTAAAAATGTGAGGCTATACCCCCAGTTTTCTTTGTGGATTCCAACAGCCCTTGCAAAGATCTACTTTTTCCATGTGTTCCTAACCTGGCATAAAAACCTTTGTATTTAGTAGGCACTGTCCTTAAATACAAGATAGATTGATTGCTTCACCAAGACATCCAATGGCATATGTGCAAACTACTGAGATATAACATACTAATACCCTACTGGATGCTATGTACAATATATACTAAATAAGCATAGGACTCACACCTCTTAAATAACATTCTAGAACAACCTACATGAACAGTAACTGCCCTGACACTACATTGAAGTACAGCTGTAAGCAGGGAGCATTCACTATTTGTTTGAATTACAAACCTAGAAATGTGAATCATATGTATTCAGTATGCTAATTTTATTTAGCACACATATTAGGGAGCTCAAGCAATGACGATGGTGACACCAGTACTGAGAAAAAAAGGATTTATATTTTATCTTTGAACTTTGCGGTCTGTAACTCGACTCAAACTAAAAATGTAACTCCAACAATCAATTCCAGAAGAAAATATGAAAAAATAGCCATTGTGGGTCATGGTCTTCAAAACAAGCTGGTCTTGGTCATTTCACTAGTACTGAGGAAAAAGGGATTTATATTTCACCTTTGAAGTTTGCACTTTATCTAGGTCTGTTCAGTTCACTGAGTGGTCTGTAACCCAAGTTAAACTAAAGATGTAACCCCAGCGATCAATTCCAGAAGAAAATACCAAAAAAAAGCCATTGTGGGTGGCTGGTGTTCTTCAAAACAAACAGAACTTAGTCATTTCATGTTGTTGTTTTGCAGGGGACAGTTATGAAATGTACAAAGATTTATAGCGCACATCTATGCACAGCCATTGTTCTGCTCGTTAAACCTTATTCTCATTGCCGTTGCTGTCATGGTTTGCTCGAGCTCCCTATTATTTATAAATTGAATTACAACAAGTGTTTATTTACCAAAAGTGTATGTTGAATTTTTTAGCCGTGCTCCTCTCAAAAGCAGATTTTGTGGACCTAAAGCCCTACAGAAAAGGACAAATATATGTATCTGAAAAATTTTAAAAACACCACAACACTTTAAATTTTGAAGATAATAATTCATAACAGAACTAAATATGACATGTGGACATAAAACGAACTGAATAGTATTTATTTATTCTAACTTTTAAATTTGATGGACAAGTTGCCATTGAATGCGACAGTGGACAGCTGGCTTTAAAAACATTGATTAAGCAACATTTGACATGCAACTGGAATCTGATTATGCTACTGTGTTCAAGGTACTGATGTGAGTGGCCTACAAATCTGTAATAATTCTGTGGGTCTTCAAGAAATTCAGAATAGAATAAATTTCAGTTCAAGAAATTCCATTTCTGCATTTAAGTTTCAAGTTATTGTGCACGGTCTGAAGCTTATGATGTTCAGTTGAGAGTTTCCAAATCATTTTGAAATTCAGTTTTAGCTAAATTGTAAAATTAACAAATTGACATCAGTTTTTCATGTGTCTGTCCTGTTATTGATCACGAATTTTAGTCATGACATTGTCAAAGTAGCTGTGGATCCATGAGGTGATAGCCGAGTGGATCTGCAGACTACTGTACTTTCATAATGTTGTGACCAAATTAATTGTCAATAACAGGATAGACACATGAAAAGCAGCCTGACGTCAATTTGCTTTTTATGATAACAAATTGTCACATTGTCTGCTCTCACTCATTAACACATCGCATAAATTATAAATTCATGTGTCTGTCTGCTTATTGACAGTGAAAATTAGCCAATGAGCGCACAAGAATTTCCACAGTTAACGTAATAAAACAAACTGATGCCAGCCAACTGATATATTGTCTTCGTTACTGATGATAAATTCCATCATAACATTGTTATTGCCAATTTGTTAATTACCCTTATAAGAACACTATTTAATTAAAAGTAAGTGTGTAGAATGCAGATGTATGACTTACTTAACAACAGGCTCTCCTCCTCCTCTAGGAGTTATGATCATTCTACCTGAGAAACTGAATTTTAAAGAACAATGTTTAGACCTAACAGAATGTGCCATTGGATAATCAGCTGCTTTCTTCTTGCCCTCGCTCATCTGTTTACAATAAACCTATTTATTTACCTCACCCTGATATTTGTTGTTTCACAGTGCTTCAAAGTTGTTTGACATCAGAAAAAGAAGAATGCCAAAGTTTGTTGTTTATGACACGGTAATATTCACAGCTGGAGAAAATTCAAGGACTTTTCAACACATTTTTAAGAAATCTCAAGGAGTTTTCAAGGATAGAGGGATTTTAGCTACAAACAGACTATGCAAACCCTGCCTTTAATGACACTAATTTTTTTAAAATTATTTTTGTCTTGATGTATGTATTTTGTGCGTAAAATTATGAAACAATAAGTTTGTGCCATGAAAAATGCTTTGGTTTGTACTCAGGATAGGCTTTCACAAGTCTGCTAGTGCATGTGTTAGAGAAAATATGCAGACCATTTCCTTCACATTAAGGGTGCCTTAAATATGGGCAAGTGATGCTCACTTCTCCCTGAGCAGTATTGTACATGGAATAAGCAGTTACCTGTAGAGATCTTCCTGGGGATGCTGACACTCCACACGTGCAGTCAAATGTGAGAGCTGTTCAGCGGATTGTAAGCCTGCCGTATCAGACAGCGCATTACGCACCTACAAAACAACAAATGATCAGTAGACAATAATTTATAATGGACTATTCACCGACGCTTTTCTGATTTTTCGATTCGAACAAAAAATAAGCATCACTGTTCGGTTTGTCATGCCAAATTTAGTAAATAGGCAGAGTTACATAAGAATTCATTTAATTTGAAGTCCCATATTTTTTATGAGTTTGCAACAGATCCATATCTTTATTTTGCATATTTACTAAATTTGGCACGATAAATTGATCTATGTTTTTGTTTATTTTAAAAATAAGAAAAATTGTTGATATTGCATGACACAGAAAGGTTTCATTCTGGGTCTCTTGGTGGGTGCACATTGGTCTAAATTGGCCAGTACATCAGACTTCAGATGAATCAACACTCCTGACCAGTCAGGATACCCATCCAACAAAGCCAAGCCCCTATTTTTCAACCATATCCTACTAGCCAAACTAGTTTGACAAATTCATTAAAAAACTGTATCTAAACATTTGAAACAGAGGTAAATTCTGGAATGAGAAGTGTCCTTGTATACAGTGAAGGTCTAGCTCACTCTGACCACTCTGGTCAGTACCAGAACACACAGACGCTACAACTACAAAATTTAGCTAATTAAAGGAGAACATGGAAAATAGTAATTTGTTGAGATGTTATTAATACAGTGTACCTTTAAGTTTGTTTCACCATCCAAATTAGCAGTTGTAATGTAACATGTTCCTTCTGCATCATCACAGGACATCACAACAAGATCACAAGGAATCTCTTCATCATCTAATACCTGAACAATATCCCCAACCTACATGTGCACACAAGCATTTAATTATGTACAAATATTAAGCTACAACAGAATATCACCAGTTAGGTTGTTTACAAAGACGATGTTGTATAGCAGCTTAAAATTATTGTCAAGGGTGTGCGGCTCATAATTTCCTTACAACTGATTTTCTTGAGGATATTTAAAATTTGAGAAGTGTTGCAAAAACTGTTTATGTACTACTAACAGTAGGAACCCTGCCTTACAGCTACCCCATTAATATCGCCACCTCATTATTATCATGGCCACTTTATTCTGGCCCAACAAAAGCTCAGTCAGTCATTGGGCCTGTTGATTTACGGCCACATTTTTGTGGCCCTTTGGTGATGGAATTAACATGGTTCCACTGCATATATCTCACCTTGACATTCTTGGATGGAATATCCCGCACTGTTCCCTCCCTGATCACATTGGTTGGCCTGTTATTGACCTCTCTATCTGCCTTATGACGAAGCCAGTCTTCATAACCCTTTTATAAAAATGTAATTCTTAAATTACAGCCATGTATGACAGAATTAGAGGAGCTCAGTCATGGTATTTTGAGTTATTTTGGCCACACTCAAAACCACATTTAAATTGAGGAAAACCTGAAAATATTAGTTTACTAAGACAGAAAAACACCAATGAAAGAGATAATAATAAAACCATAGAAAAACAAGGATGGCTAAGGATGAGAAAGATTAACATGGATTCCAAAGGACAAACTTGAAATATTTAGACTAAACTTTTCAAGATGCACATACTGTGATGTAGCTCCTTTAAGCTCTGAAAATCAAATGGTTGCACAATAATTATTGTAGAAAGCTGAGATAATACAAACCTGTTTAATGGCTGTGACTGTTATTACAAAAACTAGAGGAAGAATGCTTGTCACTGGACTAACAGGGCTGTCAATTAACAACTACAGAGAAGAAAGTACATGTTTATTAAAAAAAAAAGTCCTTGCTCGTGCACATAATTATACTACCTAACAGAATACAGTGTAGGTGAATCTATTTCTCACAAATACATGTACTGTCTCCCATGTATCAAGATTTAATTTATGCCACATTTTCACAAGAAAGGTTTACTATGTGGTTTGGAGACTTAAAACCACATAAATTAGTGAGAGAAGCTGTACAAAGAACGGAATAACTAAAGCAAGCAGTAGACAAGTTATGGTTTATACAAGAAATTGAGCTTTCAACTAAAGCCAGAGTTGCAAGCTAAGGCTGTTCATTTTTAACAGGAACCTTGAGTTCGTCAGTATTATTTTGTTAAGAGTTTATTACTTCCTTCACAGGAACTTTCAAGGATCATCTTGCAGATTCTCTAACTCTGTACTAACAAAGGATTTTGCATACATGTATGCATGGTACATGTATGTCTTCATGTAGAGATTTCATAACAAAAGAACAACTACAGTTGAACCTCCCGTAAGCAACCACCCAAAACTTCAAGCCTAGGTGGACACTTACAGGAGGTAATTGGTTAGGAGAGCTAAGACCATATTGGATCAAAATTTTGTGTCATCAGCATATGGTAACTGCTGAGACTTGCACCAATGTCCATCCAAACCCATGTAATAACTTTAAGCAGCCACAAAAGTGTTTGTCAAGCTTTCCAAAGTTATTTATTCAGAATACTAAGGTTTGCTTCTGATAAACTGCTTAATAACTAAAGGTAAACTGACCAAGTACTCAAGGTAGTTACAAATTGAATCTTTAATGTTGTCTAAATGTTAGGGGAAACTGAACGTAATGTTATGTACAACACCTTGTAATCCAATTTCTGCTCTATTATCTGTCAGTGGACGCTTACAGGACGTTAAAAACAAAAGAAAGTTTTAGCTCTAAAAGTGGTTGTGGTCGCTTACAAGAGGTGGTTCCTTATATGAGGTTCCAAATATAGTGATTTGACCTGGAAACTTTTGATATTTTGAAAACTGGTCGCTGAGGAGAGGTGGTCGCAACTGGAGGTTCAACTGTAGTTCAGACAACAAAAGTCAAGAGAATGATTGTATCAGTTTCCATGTAAATGGCATGAAATCCACTGTCTGAATATTCAGTATTGTCCAGAGAAGTTTATTTTTTCTTACCTGTATCACACCGATGCACAGGAAATAAAAGTTTGCAATTCTACGGAACTGTTCAAACAAATTCTTTGGCAGAAAATTCCATATTGTATACTGCAATAAATTAATAATAATAATAAAATCAAATACACGGATGCAAAGTTTGTCAATGAAACTGTAAAATTGGCACAATATATAGTGCAGTAGAAGATATATTTTTCAATAAACTGTTCAGAAACATTCAGTACTGATTTGTACTGGATCAAATTTACTGAAGTTGGTATAATTAATAACAGTTTAAATCTATTTGATCAAAGTAAAAATATGACAGAAACAAATACAATATTTTTTTTGTAGGATAAAAGCTAGGGATAAAATACGATGTTTCAATCTCTCAGATTTTAAAAAGTGATGAACTTTTTACATACTGATATATGTAGATATGCACTAAGTGTTATAAAATGTAAGTGATAAAAACTCTAACATACAAAAGGTGAAATAAAACAATAGGACTATGTTAAAAACTACAAACAATAAAATAAATATAGAATACTCTGCACTATAAAAATAACTTTGCACAAATGGAGTCAGACTGCTTGTTCACTTTTTGACCTTGAAAATGATCTCAGAGAAATTGAAACCTCACTTTTCATCACTAGTTTTCATCATGAGTTTCCAAGCAACTGCTTATTAGCATATTTTCTTTATCTAATGTACATGTAAGAACTTTGCACACTGAATAAATGCTTGAGGGGCTGATTTACAACTCTAAACGGGCCTTCTGATAAGGTGCGATTAAAAAACCAAAATGACGCAAAATTTTCAGGGCAGATTATACGATAAGGAAGGGCTATGTGATAAATTTTAAAAATTGTGTGATTTTTTCCTGAGCTAATATTAAGCATATTTCACTAGGTTTAATAAGAAGAAAACCACTCTTGGGCTGCCCCAAAGACAAACTGAACATAAAGGAACAAAAATTAACCACCTATGCATAGATTGCAATAAAAAAGACAACTTCAAGGTGCTTGTCCACCACGGACTTCCGAAGATGATTGATCAGCCTGTCGTCCATGTGGAAGGGACATATTCTTGCTCTATCTTTCGCATTTAACTTTGGCAGAAGGTGTGATTTCGTCTTTTCAGGCAAAAAAAACAGCACGCATTCTCCCTACAAACTTGTCCACGAGGGACATTTATTTTGAATTCTATGAAAGAAGCTACATTTTGCCATCAAAATAAACATCACTTGGATGATATGTTGTCAATATATACCGGTAATACTAATTGGTCCAAGCAAAGAAAGCAATTGTTTGCATTACACCAATAGGCAATTCTTTGAGATTGAAAACCACTGCCAGTCCCCCGAAGTCTAAGAAATGCCTTGAACTTTGAATGTTATGAAATTGAAGGTTGTAGGAGGTTTTTGAGACTTTTTCGCAAATCATCTTGAAGCAATGTGTGGATGGGGCATTTTTGTAGATAGAGAATTAAAGCTAATGGTTTATTTTGTTAAAATTGTGCAATTTTTCATGAATTATGCAATTTTTCATGAATTGTGTGATCAGATGCAATCTGAGGTCGATTGTGCAAAATTGCACAAAATTGAAAGCCAAAAGGAAATCAGTGACAGGAGGATGGAAGTCTTGAGCACCAAAACCAAGACCAGAATTGGATTCTGGAACATGAGCAAGATGTATGAGACAGGAAATCTGGCACAGGTTACAGCAGAGATGAGACGCTACAATCTGCACATTCTTGGAATTAGGGAAAGCAGATGGACAGGATCAGGCAGGTATAGAACCAACACAGGAGAGACGGTGTTATATAGTGGTAGAGACGAAGACCAACACCACGAGGGAGTCACCATCATCCTGAGGAAAGGAATGGAGTAGTGCCTGATGGAATGGAAGCTGATCAACAGCAGGCTGATGAGGATCAGAATGAAGGGGAAGCACATCCACATCACCATCATCCACTGCTATGCACCGACCAACGATAGTGAGTTTTATGACCAGTTGCAGGCTGAGCTATAGAATACACCACGCCATGAGATGAAGATAGTGATGGGCAACTTGAATGCGAAAGTGGGAAGTGACAACACAAATCACGATAGAGCCATGGGAAAGGAAGGTTGTGGTACCATGAACAACAATGGAGAGAGGCTACTTGAATTCTGAATGACATACGATTTGGTGATCAGAGGAACACTCTTCCCACACCAGGAAATCCACAAGCTCACCTGGTGCTCCCTAGTGGAAGAGACAAAAACCAGATCGACCACCTGATGATGAACGGGACATGGAAAAGATCATCGCAGGATGTCAGAGTCAGAAGAGGAGCTGATGTTGGCAGTGACCACCATTTTGTCACAGCAACCCTGAAAATGAAGCTGAGGAAAAATGGACCTGGCAACGCAAGACAACAGCAGTTTGACGTAAACAAACTAGAGGAACCTAGAGCAAAGAGTACCTTGAAGTTCACTCTAACTGAAGAACAAGTTTCAAGCACTGGCAGATGCTGAAAAACATACACCGCCCGGCTCCAGCAACATCAACACCATATGGGAGCAGATCAAAATAGCCTATACACAGACCAGCAAAGTATGCTTGGGACACTGATGGAAGACGAGAGAGGAGTGGGTCACAGCAGATACCTGGCAAGCCATCAAGAGCAGGAGAACCCTGAAGAAGAAAGTCATGGACACCAGATCAGAGAGGCTGAAAGAGAGATATAGGTAGCAATACCAAGAAGAAGACCCTACAGTGAAGAAGATGATAAGGGAAGACAAACGGGCCTATATGGAAGACCTGGCAAATCAAGTAGAAGAGGCCGCCAGCAGGGGAGAACAAGGACAGGTGTGCAAGGTCACCAAGCTTGTCAACGGCAAGTACCGCGGAGCCACTGATGCGCCGATTGTGAATAAACAGGGAAGGCTACTAACCACAGAAGCAGAGCAGGAGGCAAGATGGGTAGAGCATTTCAGCAAAGTTCTGAACAGACCACCACCAACAATTGAAGCAGAAGTACAGGAACCCAATACTGACCTAGATATCAGCACCGCACCACCAGAGAAAGAAAAACATAGCAGCCATCAGATCCCTCAAAAGCGGAAAAGCCCCAGGACAGCACAGCCTCAAGGCAAAACTCTTCAAGGCAGAGCCAGAGTTTGCAGCACAAATTCTTCAGCCACTCTTTGCAGCAATATGGGAGGAGAAACAACTACCTAACGACTGGACAGAGGGTGTCATCGTGAGGATTCCAAAGAAAGGAGTCCTGAGCAACTGTAACAACTAGAGAGGAGTCACCCTTCTGTCTGTCCCTAGCAAGATCCTAACCAAGTTCATCATCAGGCGGATCTCTGAAGCAGTGGACCAGCGACTCAGACAGGAGCAAGCAAGGTTTTCGAAAAGGACAAGAATGCACGGACCAGATCTTCATGCTATGCAACATCACTGAACAGTGCACCGAATAGCAGAGGCAGTTGTACATCAACTACATGGATTTTCAGAAGGCTTTCGACAGCATTCACCAAGAATGTCTAGGACACATACTCAGGGCATATGGAATTCCACAACAGATCATCCTTGTCATCAAGAGCTTCTACAACAACGTCAAGTACAGAGTGGGAAACAGCGAATCCAGCTTCGGTGTGAAGACTGGTGTTAGACAAGGATGTCTTACGTCAGCGTTGCTCTCGACTGGGTGATGCCGCAAACAACATTGGACCAACCACGGGGACCCTCTTCTCAACCCTTGAAGATCTGGATTTCGCCAATGACCTAGCACTGGTTTCACACACTCATCAGCACATGCAAGAAAGAACCACCCGTCTCAGCATAATTGTTTGCACAACAAGTAGGCCTGAAGATCAGCCAGAAGAGGACAGAAGTGATGATGCTGAATGTTCCAAACCCCTTGCCTGTCAAAGTAAACGGAGAAGATCTTCCAACAACTGAAGAATTCACCTACCTCAGTAGCACTGTCAGGCATGACGGCGGAGTAGGCAGCAACATCAGAAATCGCCTCAACAAGGCCAGGAATGCCTTCAGAATGCTAAACAATGTCTGGAAGTCATCCCAGTACAGCACCAAGACCATAGTTCAACACAGCTGCAAATTACTAATAGTTAAACTAACCTTTGAAGTAACAATCACATTATTGGCATATCTCTTCTGCTTCACTTCGACATCAGGTTCATCAGAAGGATACTTGTTTAAAACATAAACAGTACGCCACTCATCTTCATATCGTCTTCTGCCTGGAAGAAACCCCTTTAACAAAGAAATCTTGCTTTAATTAAAGGATCATCATAAGTATAATATGGTAGATCAAAATTTAAAAAAATTATTAATAAAAAGTCAGCAATAAAAATCTCTCTCCTCTGTTTTGCTTATTTGTGTTATTAAATGTTATGTTAACTGAACAGGTCAACAGAACTGCCACAGTAACTGGCAAGGTTAACTCAGCCATACAGAATGCTTTATTGATGGTTTGATAAGTCATTTTGTAAGTATTGGACCTATACAGAGTCTTCTGCTACCCTTGATTCTTCTCTTTTATAGTTGCAGCATAAGTTTTAAAGGACAGTAAACACAATAGCCTCCATTCGGCGCGAAAATATGCTCAGATATTTGTCCTTGTCTTCAGAGCTCACAGTTTTCCTCGACCTGTGCTTTCAGAAAACTGTGCGCTTCTCAGAACAGATGATGTCCACAAACAAATATCCAAGCCTATTTTTGCGCCAAATGGAGGCTATTGTTTATATAATTATTTATTCACCCCTAACTAAAGGTCACGATTCATGTACACGTTCGTGAACAACATTTTGAAACAGACATGCAACATAAAAGAATTTTACAGACTACAATTTTGTTTTGACTGCTTTGATAAGATCACAGAGTTTACTGCTATTAAATGAAAAATTGCTCTCAAGACAAGATAATGCACATGGTGTTGTATAATGGAGTGCAAATTAACAATGCTGTTAGCAACCAACTTTCATTCTTTGGCCTTCATTAATATCCCCCCTCCACAGTTGACAAAGGCTGTCATCCTCTCCATTCGAGTTCGCTTCTTCACTATAGGCCGATCCACAATAGCAAAAAAGTTGTTCATTTAGACAAATTTTCTGTCATCACCGACACACTACAAGTGCGGATGGTTTGTTACGACTTGACAAATTTTGGCCGAAGCAGGCAAATCTTCCAACGTACCACCGACAAATTTGTCCTGGGTAAAAACTGGACAAAATCATTTAAATAAACAAAATTGTGTTTATCTTGTCATGGATTTTAGCGTCCTGGTTATTTCTCATGCATGTTGCAAAACTAATGTTAACAGAATTTGACGACTTTCACAACAGTCAATGTGGATGCAACAGACAAGACAAAAATTGTCATGACAAAATTCCTCCCCAGATTTTGTTACAGGCAATTGCAATTTTGCCTGCCTGTGCAGATTGGACCTATCTTACAAATCATTTATCTTTGGTCTTTTTTTATTGCATTTCCACTATCTAAAAGTCCTTGCACTAAATATGACACATAATGCATTCAGTTTATTTGTATTTATTTATACATGGAATTTCTATGGAAACTAACTAATACATGTACCTGTCAGTATCTAATGTAAATAAGATATGAGCATAAATTAAATTTATGTTAAAATTTGTTATTCAGGTTTTTTAAGCAGCATTGTTTGTGTACAACAAGTTATTAATATTTTGTTGAAATTTCACAGCTTTGTTTTTATCTACTCTTCAATTATCAGGTCCAGATACTTGGTACATATTCAGCAAATTGTATGCAAAAACTAAACCATTATTTTTTTTTTATCTTAAATAAGTATGTTTTTTAATGCAAGGTGCACTGCAGGATGGGCATATCATTTGGTGTTTCCCTGTCATTCTTATTTCCAGCAGTTCTGAACTAAGAATAATTTCAAATTTTGTCAAAACATAGGGAATTGCCATGGTTTTCACAAAGAAAGAAATCCGCATAAATTATTAATTAAACACTAAAACAAGTCCTCACGTTTTACAATAAAACCTAAACTGTAAAGACAATTCACAGAGGAACTTTTTTAAATGCTAAATAACTTGAGTTTAGCTTATGTTCCGGTAGAAATAATTAGCTTTACATGACTTTCAGTTTCAAGCGCACCAGAGATGCGACTGAATTCACGGTCACATAAAATATTAATTTTGTTGACCCACTCGATCCTCCTGAGCAACCGCCAAAACCATTTATAATGTCTTCTAACACTTGAAGAACCACAGCTTAACTGTTAAGGACTCTCACACAAGAAACGCGAAAAAGAAAACAAAGGCCTTAATTACTAAAACATTTACAACACAAAGCACAAAAGCTGGAGTCATCTGGTTTATTTTAGAATTAGCAGAACTTGAACCTAAGCTTTTAAAATTCCCCTGTGTGTTGTAAGCTTAAGCTTAGTGCAAAACATAATAGCCATAGAATTTTCACAAAAATTTGGAAAGCATGTATTGTGAAATACGTTATGCATCAAGTAAATTTGAAAACCGCTGTTGACGGCTCCACAAATTGTCTCCATCACTACAGAGCACAAACACTGGTCACAAAATTACTTTCCTCACGCCAAAACAGCAACGTAAAACTCTCCGTTTTAACGAACAGTTTTCCAAACAAATGTGGATATAAATTTTTCCTCCCTGAAAGTGAAACATATCTCTACTAACAAAGTTTCAGACCTGTAAAATGTATTCACGCAAACAAAACGTTATATACAAGTTCCACTAGATCGCGCACAGCGTTGACAACAGAAACGAGACGTTTCTGCTTAATAATTTAGAACAACGCCACATCTTTGAGAGCTGCGTCAAGGTGTACTAAAAAAAGCAGGTTTTTTTGATGTCTTTTATCCTTATCCATACTATGTTCATCCCGGCAATCACTTCGATCACGTGCAAAGCGAACGTGTAGAGCGCCAGGCAGCGCTAGTAAATTAGTCACTTACCAGCAGACGATTCTTCAGTCTTCCAAAAGACATTTAGAGTTGGCTTTCTTCCTTTACACCAAAAAAGCAAGTTACTGTACAATGAAGTATCCAAATCACAATATTATCATTCTGAATTTCCTTTCCGCTCACTGTTATTCCACCTGTGCAGTTCCAAAGATACTCATCAATGCGGAAGACTGCAGAAGATACCCAATTTGCTTGGAAACCTCCCCTTAAACAGTTTCCCGAGGGTCACTCCCAGGGGTAGTATTTTGTGCGACAAACAAACATGGCGTCTGTGCGGCAGGCAGACACGGCTTTGTGGCTTCATAACAAATTATCCACAGATGATTCGTGGTCTGGTAGTAGCTTACGCTCTTTATTAACTCAGGATGTTCTCCGTAATATCCCAGAGTGTTTTCATAGGCTTGAGACTCAAGTGAAAGTAAAATTATTGATGGCTTTCCTTCACTTACCTCGCCGAGTGATCGAGGAAACGAACAGTGAAATGAGCGAAATATTTGAGATTGGCAGCCAGGACGAGGACGAATGGGTTCGGGTTTTATCAGAGATATTGAAATATTACCCGAGTACAGGAATGCTGAATGTTCATCTGGAGCACGTGAGCCCCGTGTTTAGAGAGGTGGCAGAGGAAATCAAGAAGACTGGTAAACATGAACTATTTATTGGCTTTATGTACATGCGTGAGTGTATGGCCATGGTTTTTAATTTAATTTAATTTATTTTTATTTTATGTTTTAATTAAGCTCATTTTTACGACGCTGTGGCCATAGGAAGTGCAAACTTGAGAAGGATAAAACTACACTTGATGAGTGAAGAATAATTATCTGCCACATAAATGAAGGAAACATGATAAATAAGGCCCATTCCACTTCTCTGCCGAACCCAACTGATGAGTTAGGTATGGCAGAAGAGCAGCATTTGAACCAGTTTGGTTCGGCAATTTTAATTAGGTACTGCACACAACGAGAAGTTCAGCAGTGTCTTTCACATTATGAGACATTGGAACAGCAGCTGATTCAAACTGCATTCTCCTAATGTGCTAAACCTAATGCATAAATTACTGTAATGCATTTTTTATATAATGGCACTCGTGATTGGTTCAAAATTGAGTGGCATAACCAGTCATACGTGAAGCTTGAAGTTGTCAGTAAAAACAAATTATGGCCAAAAAAAATCCCATCATATTTCAGAGCTTACCTTTATGCCTTTGATTTATCAGAAACAGAACTGTATAAGCAAGTTTCTTTAGCACAAATTCAGTTTTTGTTGTTTCTTTGTGATAATAGCCCAGCTCATGAGATTTCTCATTTAACAGGTTGACTTTAGTGGGAGAGAACCTTTCTAAATACAAACAACCTTGCAATTGAATTTGCTTTCCCTAAATATTGCTATTACAGCAAAAAAGGTACATGTACAGGTCTAGAGATTTTGTTCTTGGCATTCTGATCAACAATTTCAAATTTGGTCTCTGAAAAAGTCAAGATGCATGTATATAAATAGTATAGGTTCATAGTGCAGTGTTTCAGCCAGAAAATTTTACTTGAGGGCCAAATTGGCTCTTGAAGATCTTTTTTAGGGGCCAATTTTTAGGAAAGGGGCAAATAAATTGAAAGCTACAGAAGGAAAAAATGCATCAGGGTACCAAGGAAAATAAAGCAGCTTATTAGGGTCTATGAGAAAATTTAATAGTAAGTGCTTTTATAAGTGTTTTTACTCTATAAAGTTTCTTTTGAATTGGATACCAGTATGAGGGATCCGTGCATTACAAAAGAACAATCCTTAGGCGTACATGTCGTAGTCAATGACCAAGGTTTTGCAATGCATTATAGGGCATTTTTTTGTAACATGGTCAGCCATTTGAAAGTTTTCCGATGTGAGAGAATCAATGCAGCAAATAGCACAGCAAAGCAAAAGGACGGATTGGCTTCTTTTCTTATGTTGCATGTTTTAGAATGTTGAATGTTTTCAATATGATTTTCTAGAAGGACATTATGTGTGACAAAATAACCGTTGTTGATCATCAACACAGAGAAATGTAGTTGCCATTATGGGGACTAAACCAGAATTTTTGGTTGCCAAGGATGAAATGTTTAACCCTAGTCAGCTGTTTTATTAAATTTTATAAAACTTTTGTGAAATGTTTGTGAAATTTTATAAAACTTTTACCCAGTGGTTGTATGGAGTATTTTTATAAAATTATGCAAAATTTTATAACGTTATCCCAAGTAATTTTTTTTTAAATTTTATAAAATTGCCCAAAAACCCCATTATAAAAAATAATTTTACAAAACTTTATAAAATTTTATAAGCCAGCCATGATTGTTCTGAAGTTTGTCATCCTTTTTTTATAGAAAAATTTCCCCTTTCACACAGCATTAAATTTCACTGCAACTGAGGAGTGGTAGTAATCCTAATCAACTTAGGTGTTTCCATTAAACAGTGGGGAAACAATATTTAAGTAAAGACAGAACTTCTCATATTCTTTGATATGTAATAATGTTTTAATAGTCACTTTGTTTCAACACCTACCGGCAGGGTAAAAAACAGGCTTTCAACATCATAATTCACAATTACTTAAAAATAAGTCACTGTCAATAAGCAGTACTACTATTTAATGGCCTGGTCACACCCGTATTATATTAGCCAAGTACTATAACCACTCTGTAATCTAGGAAAGCATGTATTAAGAACAGTTTCAGCCTGAAGTCAACAGCAAATAAGAATGTTCTGCCTGAACAAAAAAATATACAATNGCAATGGCGCGGTCTGGCAGAAACACTGATAGTGTTTTGGACCAAAATGAATAAAAGGACCCGAAGATATATCTCTCGTTTGTTGACTGATTTTTGACCTTGTACAGAACTGGAGAAGGGTTACATGGATAAGTCTTCCGGTGTACATACATGACCATTGTATGTCATTTTATGTTACTGCCAAGCTATTACATTGGCAATATAGATTAACAGGTGGCTGGATATACTGATCATCTACAATATTTTATTGCTTGTATTCCTTGTCAATGTTAGTTGCAAGCCTTCCTGATGGTGGATCTAGTCTCCTTCCTCTGGAATGTCTGTATTTAAACAGAACAGCACTTGTTGCAATGGTAGGACCCCAGCCTCCCCTTCCAAAACACTTCACTCTTCGAAGAAAACCAAAGTCTGCTGCACTCAGAGCAGAGCTCACACAGAAAGGTACATCCATCTTTGCATTATCTTGAGAGCTGCTTATAACAATTCGTATCCTTCTTATGTAGAGAAGTATAATGTAGTTTAATCTCTGTTATGGGACACAGGTTTTTATCCAAGATTTGAAAAGTGGGCATCCAAATTGAGTTGCAGGGTCTGCTCAAATGAACAATTTATAAAGCAACACATTTAAAAATAAAACAATTTTCTTAAGATTTGCATTACATTGCATTACATTTTATTTCATTTCATTTCATTACATTTTATTTTATTTCATTTCACTTCACTTCATTTCATTACATTACATTTCATTTCATTTCATTGTGCATGTACTAAACTCAAAACAGTGAAAACAAAAAATGACCACCAACCCGGTATCATTATTCAGAGCTAACTGTACACATGCTAAGCATTATTCAGGCTAACTGGATTGCTACTCAGGTTAACCAGTGTACATTTACAGACTGCACGTTTTCAGATTTTCACTCCACTTGCCCTGAAAAGCAGCCAGATTAGCCTGGATAATGCTCGATAATGCTCATGGGAGCCTGTTTATGGTTGAAGGTAGTTGCTACAATTTTATTAAATCTCTCATATCCTCTGACAAATTTATAAAGGATAGCATTAGTGGAAAACTGATAGTTGGCTCTACAGCAAAAGACAAAAGCCTCAAAACAAATTTAAGCTGAGCTGTTATTACAACATAATACATTGCAACCATCTGTGCAAAGCCTTAAATTTTACCTGATGTTTTATACTACTAATCTATCAGCAATAGAGGGAAATGTCATGTAACAACAGTAATAGCAAACACACATGCATGAAAGCTTGAATTGTACAATTACTAAGCATCTATCACTCAGGGACATTGTGTAGTTCTGTATCCAAGTAAGTGTGCCATAAACCATTTCCATTGCATTTTCAGCCAGTGAAGCTATATCAGCTCACAAGAAAGGACTTGGAACCCCTCTGAGCTCAGGACACAAACTTCAATCTCCTTCCAAGAAGTTTGAAGCCCCTGGTAAGTGGAACTGCCCTGCTTCATTGAAAAGAGAGTGTCCATTTACTATCGGTTAACTGCTATAAATGTTGTGCTAAATGTTTGCTTGAAGATACAGTGTTAGTGTAGAATTCATACATTGGAATCCCAATTTCTCGTACCCTAGATTTTTCAAAGTTCTCAGTAACTTGAACGAAAAGTCATTTCCCTCTCCTCAATTGAACACAGACTGAATCTTACCCCCAACTATTAGAGCTACCTAAGTTTTCAAACCAATTTTGGTTTCCTTTGGAGTTTCCAAAAATTGGGANCCCCCCCCAATTTCTTAAGCCAATTTTTCAAACCATTCGAAAAATCAGGGTTTCGCTGTATTTATTAATAGTGGCCTTATTAGTGAGGCTTTCAATTGAGTGTCAAAATAAAATCAGAGTTACTGTGGTTTTGCTTTACAAATCTCTAGGTATGTGATTTATTTTAAAAATTCTTTCCATTTACATGTACAATAAACCTGCATTGTACAACTCCTGGAAATTTAGCATGTTTTTTTCTCTGGGATTTCACTCAACATGTTAGGTGGAAGACAAAGGATGCATTCCTTTGGGATGATCCAGATGTATAAGGATCAAGAATCCAAGATCAAGTGCTTGGATCATAGTGCATCAAAGGAAGCAGTAGAACAAGGATTCATCTGTTCCTTTGATGCACCATTCAAGTGATCTTTGATCATTGAACTTAATGTGACAAATCTGAAAGAAATGCACAACATGGGATATTTGCTGTGAATGTAAACATGCAATAGTTTGGTGGTCCTAAGTTTATTCATCTTTGTCTTGCCGTGATCGCAGTAAGAGTAACACCAAGAATGTCCAGCTCCTCAAGTTTCCGTCCAACACCCAGCAGAGCAACTCCATCAAGTGGTTCATCCAGAAGCATCATCTCTGCTGCCACGCTTAAACACCATGGAAGAACAAAGGTAAGTATCTGTCACTGCTGTCCAGTGTGAAAGTGCTAAACTTGCTATTAGCTTTGCTAAATTATGTCATAAATCACATAACGTTTTTGCACCATCTTACTCAAAATAGCTCTCAACCAGACAGAAATTGTCTTTCAACACCAAATACCGCTAGCAGATTTTCTGTAATTATTCTATTTGACAATGATATTTACCTATCATGTAGTGGAACTGAGGTTTACCATGTTGATCAGTGATACAACAGATACATGTAGATTGTGTATCAGAGGATTTAAACATACTCAAATCCAGTGACAACCAACCTATGCAGTTGAATGCAACTCATACACATGTAGGTAGAATACTGCCAAATAAATCATCTGTCTTCCACCTGACCATTCAAACCTGGGTCCGGCCCCCACCACAAAAATGAGAATGCTCATCACATGTTAGCATAAACCCATTGTGCAAACCCTGACCAGAGCTAATGCTTGAAACATCAACTTTCTAGTTTTTTCTTTCTTCACATGCCTCCTGTCCTGAGCACAACAGTTTCTTTAGAAGCTAATCGCCCAGTAACATTCCAGTAGTTTTGATTTCAACTGTGGGAATTTTCACCAGCTTTTAGACATAAATGAGCAGCCTATTGGAGGTGGCAGGGAACTCAAAAGGAGAAAGAAACTGGCAGGTAAAGTTATCAAGTCTAAATCTTTAACAGTCTCATTCAAGCAAAACTTTTGAACTTACATGTTCAAGCAGGAAGGAATTGTGACTGCAGGTTTCAGGTTTCAAGCCTGCATTCAAGCCTGATAGCTCATTGGGCTGGCACCTATAGCTGTATCTTATAGTATGAAGAAGCTAGGAGTATTTCTACTCCCCTTGGATGGGATGCTAGTTCATCGCAGGGTTACCGCCAGCATTTAATCACTGGTACTACATGTAATTGCTACACCTGTGTAGAGGCCGAGTCAGAGTATTTAAGAGTCTTGCCCTAGTATACAATACAGTAACTCGTGTTAGGACTTGAACCAGAGTCTGGCACACTACAGTGTAGCTATTAGGCCAGTATACCTCTTACAGGGGGCCAGTTTAGCAGCTTCCAATTTATCGTGAACAAGGTACATGTAGTCTAACTTGGTGATTGTGATTTTAATATTAATTGTAGAATCAGAGCAAGGAGAAGATGCAAAACACAAAAAACTAGACAGCACTAAACCAGCAGAACCGAGCACACCAGATTATGCTGCAGGTCTTGCACCTGTGTCTCAACCAAACAAGGTAATCCTCTCAATAAGTTATGTAACGTTTTTGTGAATATGACACATCACACTGGCCTAAAAAAGCTAAGAGAATCAAGAGAGAAAATGTAATATTATCTTCTTTATCTCAGAAGCACTACAGTGTAAATAACTTATTTTCTCTGAAATAAGGAAGAAATGATAGAATGGTCTGGCTTTTATTGACATTGTTAGTTTTGAATTAATAAAGATGAGGCCTGATAAAAATATTTACATTTGTGAGCAAATGCTTGTACAAATCTAGCTGCATGCCTTTTTTTTCTTGGACAATGAGAGGGAAACCTCTAACATATTCAAGTGTATTAGAACATCTTGAATATTTCCTGTTATTATTAACAACCTTATCTAATTATTTTCAACTATGCGTGTGGCAAAGTAAACTAGAGTTTTCTCCCGTAGGTCAATCGGTTTAGCCTCTAGCTTTCTTAAGTTTAGAATTCACGTAATATTATGGTATTTTGAATTCTTTTTGAAGCCTCCCTCAAGCCCAGAGACACCAACACCAAGCATGGCACCTCCATCATCCACTCCGTCTTATGCACCACAGAGCGTCTCGACCCAGTCTTCCACTGCAGATACACTCAGTGAGAGTACTATTAACCTCAAGAGAGAGTTGGAGGTCAGCTCTTCTTCTTTCTTTGTTTTTTCTTCCTCTGTTGCATGTACTTCCCAGTGTTCGAGCCACCACTGCAGATAATTGATAATGAGAGCCTCTGTGCTTCCAAGACTGTCTGCAGGCATTCACATTCTCGTCCTCAGAGCCACCTGTTCCTCTTAACTGCCGGGGCCTTAACATCAGTTTTACTTAAAGATCAATCTGTGGCTAAGTATAGGAAAGAAACCAGCGTGGAATTAGTGAAAATGTTAGACCAAGAATCTATCCAATCAAATCATGTGTCTCCAAAGCCACCTTTTCCTTGTACCAAGGCCCCTCCGGCTGAGAGGGACACGTGGCTCTGGGGACGAGAATGCTTAGGGTAAAGAGGGGAAGATGGTGCTTTTTACCTAAATAAGAACTCTCGGACATTTGAGTTTAAATTCTAAAGTCACTGTCAAAACTAACAATTATTTCGTGAGCTGGTTTTTGTGATCTCTGGAAATCAAGTGCGAGGTAAGAAAAACGACTAACGTACATTTCCCTGTGGCGCACAACACTATCTCTTACGATGTGTGCATCTTTACAAAATGCTGAGGGATCCTACGTGACGCCTTGAAAATTATTCCTTCCCGGCATGCATCCACTGGTTTGCAAGCAGTTTAATTTATTGCTATCGCATGTGCTGATTTGGAGAGTCACTATAGGTTCTCACTCAGTGAGAAAAGAGATTAATTATTGTATAAAATTATGCTTTATTAGATGCATATGGAACAACAGCGTCAGTTAATGATGAGAGAGCGACAACAAAAGCAGGCTGCTGCTGCGGCGGCGGCAATGGCGGCAGGTTCTTCGAGTTCTACAACCCCAGCTGTCAGTGCGGATTCAACAAGAGTTCCTGCTGCAGTTTCCCCTGGGTCTGCTAACACTCAGCAGCAACAGCAACAAGCTAACAAGCGCCAGCTTACCCTGACAGTAAGTACGCTACTGTACTGAAACTCTCTCATCAGGGGGTACTCCGAGAAACATCGGGTGGGGGTGTGCGGCCCGCTTCCCAAAACCCTTACCACATTTAAGACCAAAATCTGTGATTTTTCCTACCCTAATTATGTCTTGACCCTTAAATCAATACCCTGTTTTAGACCTGCCTTACAATTAGTTCTCAAAGAAAAGTCTACATAGGTGGCTCACTATAGTAAGCTAACATCCTATCCACAAATCAGGCTTTCTCTTTTTTTTTTCGCCACGGTGGAAGAGGTTCCTTCTTTTCCCTTTCTCCCCCCACCCCCCACCCCCCGCCAAACCCCCGCCGCGCAACCGAGCACGCCTTATCACAGCGTTAGCCCGTTGTGCAAGCCCTCACCCAGAGCTATATCCGTTACAGCGGCTCGTTTCTTTATTCACTTTTCTCTCCTCATAAGCACAACAGTTCGTTTAGGAGCTGATCGCTCGGTAACGTTTCAGTAGTTTTGATTAAAGAATGACAAATATGCATTAGGTCAGAATGAAAGATTAGTTTTTCATTATCAGTGTGTGAATTACTGTTGGTTTTTGAGACTTGTAAACCAAGAATCCCCCATTTGTTTTTCAGCGAGAGCAAATGTTAGCTGCTCATGAAATGTTCAAGAATGCAAACCGTGTGAGTCGAGCAGAAAAGGCGCTCATTTTGGGATTTATGGCCGGCGCAAGAGGTAAAGAAACCATGGACTACTCATTGTTATTAGGAAGGAAACGAGTCAACTAGATTTAACTATTAATCGATACAAAGGTTTCATGTTCCTCATAAAGTAGAACTGGTCAAAATTGAAAGGTCTTTAATCTGCAGTAACTCATTATAAACTTATGTCGCTGATTGGTCACTGGCTATACGGCTCGTGGTCTTGTAAAATCCTGTGTGGTTTGTTTAGCCTGCAAACGTACATGCACTTAGCTGTATGGTCTGTTGCTGAGTAGTACCAGAAATACGTGTAGACAAGTAACGCCACATGGCTAGCGTAAGTCACACACTTTTTACCCAAGGTATGATATAAGCATTCTCGGCCATAGTTTTTCGTTTTCGTTTTGTCTTCCAGCCTGTTTCATTTCACACTTCTTCTGTTTGGTCGGGTTTTTACTGATATAATTTTGTTTTTATACACGATACCGAGGCCATGCTTTTATGTTTGCAGTTGTTCATTGCTTGAAGAACTGTTAGTACTTTCACCTTACTTATTTGGTTTGATTTTTGTCCTTCTTTCCTCGCAGAGAAACCATATTCTCATCAAGGTCCAATAATTACCATCAAGCTGAGTGAAAACACGGAGACCGTGACAGCATCAGACGGAACGCAGCAGATGCAGCTGGTAGAAATGCTCTTTGAAATGAACTATGACTCAGGACACTGGCGCAGACTCAAACGAACCAGGGTAGTTTCCAAACATGGTGCGTCCTCGACCTCGACTCCAGGACAGAAAAGCACCTGACTCATCACATGACTGCGAAAATACATTGAATGGGGGTCAACTAAACTATGTGCTAATTTTGAAAGCATTATTTCAAGTCTGTTTCCGAAGTTGACTAGACATTCGCAACGCTCGCGAGAGTCTGCAAGGCGAGCGAGGCAAGAAGAGTAGAGAAGACTCTGACCTTTTCACTCCTTTTTTCTGTAGAGGCTTGTTTAGGATTCGCTAAAAACGCGATTTGTTGCATTTTGTGTAATACAATCTCTACTGTACAATGGTAAACACGGTGAAACAACTAAGGACAAATCTCAGCAAAAGGAATACATGTATCTGGCCTTTCCTGAAAAAAAAAATGAATTTATAGATACACTAACCAGAAGAACAGCATATAATTTATGAATTGTCAAATTTAAATAAAGTGTACCATACGATATCAAGCCATACCATACTAAACTATCTTTTTCTTGCGATGGATATACTGGGGAAAATTTCTTGACTCAAAATCTAGAACTTTTTTCAGGCTGTAGTCGAAACGTATTATTCAACTTAAGCCCTGGCCAAACGGACTCACAAGTACACGCAAGTCAGTGAAAACTTGGGTCTACTTGCGAGTCCGTTTGGCCAGGCCTTGCGTGCACCTGCGTGGACTTGTGATGACTTGCGCTCACTTTGGTCGAGATCAAATTTGCACGCAAGTCGACGTTAGTTTTTCACCGTTTGGCCACTCAACCCAAGTCAAATGAGCAAAAAATCGCATTAGTCTTGACTCGTCTAATGTTCGACGTTTGACCGTGGCATGATCGGCTTTCCTGATAAAGGTTATCAAGGTTTTATCTCTCGTTTAAATTATTCACCGTGCGCCTTATATTTGCACGCAGGGGTCCTTGTTCGGGTAACGGACGCACATGAGACACATTGTTTAACCATTGTTTGTGAGTCGTTTTTTTAGTACACACCCTAGTCTCCTTTGCAGACGTTATTTCGGTCATCCAGAGTTACCTAAGAAGAATCATTTTCCTCTTGATATTTTGTCCTGTCTTTAACGAGGGTCTGTTAAACAGCGACCGGAGGGGGCTTTCTGGAAGGGGACTTCCGGTGGGGATTTCCGGGAGGGGGGCTTCCGGACTTGGGTCTTTTTCAGTGATGGCATTGAAGATTCTAGATCTTAGATCATCTTGTGATTTCTTTCCATTAGCTGTAAGCTAACTATTTTTTGTGCTATTAAATACATGCTGAGCGTCAAATGTTCTTCTCAACGTGAGCTTTAATGAAATCTCTATGCGTTTACATTTAATTGTCTTGTATCAGTTTAGATAATTGGTAAGCTTAAGAAAGTTGACAAACACTCAGATAGGGAGAAACACTATTTAACCCTGAGATCAAAATTAAGGTATTTGAAATTTAATGACGTCCCATTTTAACGCCTTCGGTCTTGCTCTAAATACATTTATTTTTATGTTGTAACTCGCGACGTAAACTGATATTTTTCCATATCTTAAAACTTTCAGAAATCGTGAGATCTCTGTTCTCAGGATGAGGTATACTTTTTGTAAAATCAAGAGAAAATATTTTTTTTCCTTTACTACGATTTACACTTGTGTTAGTGATTTCAATTTTCACTGATACAGCCGATTTTGACATGCAGCAAAGTTGATCTTTGATTTCTAGTTCTATCTCTTTCTTACAAGGTCATACCGCCGGGGGATGGTTTGTATTCTTTTCCTACGTTTTCGCATGGTTAACTATGGTTTTCGCATGGCAAGATAATCTCCACAAAAAATCCAAAATCTTTATTCAAGATTTTAGAAAAGTCTACGGCCTGCTCTGCGGCCTTAACTGAGAAGTCTGGGAATGGCTGTAGAGCTGACCTTACTGAACCATTTCTTCATATTTCTAAGCCGACTGTATCTCTTTGTCCAAATTATTCAATGTCTCCAGCAATTCCTTGTAGCACTTCATTTTCTCGGCTAACGCCAATTTGTTTTCGTCCAAACGTACTCCTTTCAAACTGCTCGGCTTGTGCAAAGGTTTTCCTCAACAACAACTGAATGAAAGCCACGCGGAAATAATTTATTCTAACAGCGTAAATCAGCGGATTAAACAGCGAATTCAGTACGGGAAATAAAGTAACAAGATCAAACATGATATATTTTACATTAATAGAGATGCTGTCTTCAAACAATGTAATGATGATAATAGAGATATTTACCCGCAAATAGCACAGGAAAATTGCGAGCAGTACAAACATTAAAATAAACGACTAAGGGAAGAAAGATAAACAGCATAACAGTAGCTACTAATGTTACGACAAATTGTAAGTTTGTTGGCCAGAAGTCATCTGTTGGAAGAAGGATCGCGGCAGCCCACGGCAGACGAAAGGCTATGATGATACGTACTCCGGTAACAAGGTGCTCGTATGCGAAAGAGTGTTTAATAGCGAGATAACGCTCTCCACTTAATAAAACGAAATGATTAAACGACGCTATGGTACACCTTGTGGTAATAGCCCTTATTATCTTGGATAGCTGGCAAATTATGTCAAGCCCGCCTTTGAGCACGAAGTTACCACTAGCGATTTGCAGAGGTTGAACAACAAGTCCCACAACAAGGTCAGTTGTGGCTAAACAGGCAAGTGACACGTTAGATTTGGTCGGAAGCTGACGTCTGGTTTTCACTGCCACCATCACTAAGATGTTCAACAAAATGACGAAAGGACAGCTTAGAGCGTTAACGGCGATTCTGAAGATGATTTCGGCATGAAGAGCCAGAGTGATTCTCTCGGGACTTGAATTGGCAGAGGAAGAGATGGCACTGGGCCACAACTGAGTAACGAGCTATTGATTGTGGTATGGTTCATGTTTTCGCTTGTTCGTGTTGCTCACGAATGAGAAGTTGTTCTGAACAGCTTGACTGCTAATTTGTTTGTGCTTCAACTGAATAAAATGTATGATTATTTTATCGGCTAGAATTTACATCTGTATGACAGTAAGTAAACTATTGTATCACATTTTGAGAATGATTGTCAGTGTTAATTTTAACTTTGATCAGTATATACCAGACAGATGAATAGTGCTTTTCACGCGTTCTGATTGGTTAACTCGGAATTGATTAACAAAGTATTATTTTATTCTACGACGTGCAGGGATTTTGAAATTTCCGACCACTTGTCCCATTGTCAGAAATAGTTATGTTTTGGTCTGCTAATTATTGTGGTACATACTAATCAGCGAACGCCAAAGTGCCCCAAATCGGAAGTGTTTGTTCAGTTGTGGCTAGATTCACTCATGTTTGCTTGCGGTTAGATTTTATTTGTTGAAAAACGACACCATTATATTGTATTTGGCCCTTTCCAACAAATAAAAGCTAACCGCAAGCAAACAGTACATTCAGCGTTCGGCGTTCTGTAAAATACCACTGCCGCATACTAAGTGTCCGTGTCGGTGAAAGTTTTGGATACTTACCTCTACTTCGGTAAATAACTGTTAATTATTCTTGGCCTCTAAAACCGGAATTCCACTAGAATATGCAGCTGAAACACGGCAATTTAACAAAGATGCTTTTAACGAGGAAATCGTATGTTACTAATCTTGTTCAAAAGGCTAAACAAAGTTAGTAAATGAATATGACTTACTTAAAAGTTAACGCACGGAAAATATTTTTTCTAATTCTCTCGGACGAGAGTTTATTAACCCTTTGAATACCAAACTTTCGCCAAAAAAATACCGTTTTTAACCGTTTAGTCAGGTTTTTTTAGCTGCCATGACGCTAAATAAGCCTAAGTTTTGCTAAAAAAGATTTT